ATAGATACAATTGTATTTGGTATATACCTAATCAATGTCCAATGATATTGCATTTTTCGTAAAAACAATTTCTATTGCATATTATGTATTACATATAAAGACATTGTACAATTCTTGTAATAGTTTTATTACGTTATTTGTAGTTTGTAAATAGGTATGTTAAGTATTATGAATAATTTAATATWAGTTATGTAATAATAAATAGGTTGATATAAGGTATTATCAGTATTCAGTACTAACATTGGTAAAATAAAAGTAGAGCTACTTATTTTGTTAATTATTTTTAAAAAATCACCTCCCTATTTTTTATACGTTGTGGACCGCGGGGGACTCTCCAAATACCTACACCTATTCTCAAAATATAAAAATATATATTATAAATTGTCAATTTGAAACATGAAAAAGTAGATACTAGTGGTGATAACTATATATATTATACTTAGTTATAATCAATATTCTAACAAATCCAAAAATATAAAATATAAATAGATAAAATTGACGGTGTGAGTTGTAGTCAACTGCGTGACCACTGCGCCACTCCGGCCCTTAAATAATAAAGTACTTATAATTTATAACATTCCATAAACCATCTCTTATATAATACCTACTTAGATAATATTATGTTTATCGTAATTCGTAGCCAGCTAAGGTAAATAGTTTATAACAAATAGTGAATAGCGATTAACATGGATATTTTTTAGTTGATAATGATAACTAGGGCTGGGATTTCGATGCACTTTGCATTGTTTTTCAAAGCTTACTGTRYAATGCTYGTCTWGTCACAAATTTRTTTTATGTACATTTGAATGAGAATAAGAAAGTTTATTTTGCATTTGTTAGTTTTTAGGTCATTTTCTTAATTTTTTAGGGCATTTTAGAGTTTTTGGAGCATTTTTTGAGTTTTTGGAAACCAAGTGTATGAAACTTGAACGAAGTCCATATCTATGAGATTAAGTCTATCCAACTTTGTGTACAATTTTTTTTTTTAGATTCATACTAAAACTATGTATTTACAGTTTACACTTGTAATAGATTTTTTTAAACTTTTTATTGTAATTTATGCTAAAATTATTAAAAATAAAAAAATTTGTAGATTTATTGCCCTTTTTTTAGGGCATTATTTAGAGTTTTTAGGACATTTTTCGGGGTTTTTGAGGGCATTAAAATCCCAGCCCTAATGATAACTGACGGTTGTTATTTCCTAATAGTGCAAAAGAAAACTATAAGCTTAATTGCTTAATAACCAAAACACACCTTTTACTTATTAAAATGATGACGTYAATTTTGGATTCGTCTTAAAATTCGTTATTGATTATACCTACGTCATGTTTACAAATTATTTATAACTTGTGGGCTGTGGGTAGCTAATAACTACACAAATAAATATAGAGCAAAAATTATTGCGTATGAATAAAATTGAACTTTTGCCAACAATGATGTTGTTTTTTTAAATAGAACCAATAAAAGTCGCCATTTCTTATACATGTACGAATACATTAAATTAATTTTTTTCTATTAATTTTTTTTTTAAGCCTCGGCGCTTATGGCCATTGACATATTAAATCAATTTAAAAAATGCTTATAATGTAAATTATGTTTTAGGACTCGTTGCAATGAACACATACGTCAAATTTTCAATTGTATCTATATTTAACCACAGTTTAACTCAAATACGTTACCGCCATAGTCAAGTACGAGGTAGGCTATGTTTATTACATTAATTAAACATTTAAACCATAACACAATGACCTGTATAAGAATAAATTACYATACGTCAATTTAATAGATTTATTTTAGGTGTGTTAAACTATTGTGTGTAAGAAATAATTAACTTGGTAAAGATGAGGGTGATTATTTTATCTCGTACATA